GCAGATACCATTAGAGGAGCTTACAGTTAAGGAAGATCTCACATATGAGGAGTTTTCGGTAAGGATTTTGGAGACGGTAGAAAGAGTTACAAGGAGCCGAGTTATAAAGATGTGTAAGGTTCAGTGGAATCGGTATACAGAAGATGAGGCTACTTGGGAAAGAGAAGATGATCTAAGAAAAACATACCCACAATTATTTGAGTAAGCATCGTCCGAATCTCGAGGACGAGATTCATTTTAAGGGGGGTAGAATTGTAACACCCTAAAAATTTGCATATTTTGAAATAGGAGAAAAGTGATTAGTTTTGCATTTTGTGGGAATTTGAATTTAGGAAATAATAATTAAAAAAAAAATAAAACCAAATATAAGGTCAACAACAATGAGTGTGCATTCATGCTGTTGCATAATATTTTGTATTGCTTGGTTTGAAATCAGATTTCGAATTGAGTTGAAATTTCATTTTGAACTTGCTTTGGAAAAATTAGAAAAAGGAAAAACTTAAATTTCTTTCTCCTTCCTCTGTTTCTGGCTTGCTCCATTTCCTTCCCACGCGGCCCATTTCCTTTTCCAGGCCGCTGCTTTCCCTTCCTCTCCGCTCAAGCCGAAGCCCAGCGCCCCTTTTTCCTCAGCGCCAGCCCAAGTCGGTTTTCCCTTTTGCGCATCACGCGGCCCAGCCGCACGCCCAGCCGCTTCCGCAGACCCGCGCATTCCTCTCCGCGGCTGACCAGCTGGGCCCACTGGTCAGGCTCCTTCTTCCTCTCGCCGTGGCCGGGTCGGACTCCGTTCCGCACCGATGCCGAAGTCCGAAGCTGCTACGACCTCCGAGGTGTCGTGGTGCCCAAGTGTTTCAGCCCCATAAATAGCGCCCGTGCCCCTCCTTTGTCTCCTATCTCATCTATCGTTTGGATTTTTCGCCCAAGCAGTCGCAGCCGAGCAACGCTCTAGCGCCGCCGCCAACCACCGCTGTCCACCGAGCGCCGCGCCGCCGTCGTTGCTTCCCGCTCGCGTATTCCGGTTCATGTCAGATCCCCATCCCTTCGTCTCTCTCCCTGTACTTTTCTTTCATCGAATCGTGCCTTTGAAGCCGAGTACCGCAAGCTCCAGAAGCCGGCCATGGCGCCACCGAGCTCACTGCCGCCGGCGTGATTCCTCTCTCTCTCTTCCGCCAGATTGAATCCAAACCGTCCAGATCTAATCCGGCGGTTCAAATTGAAGGATACCCCTTCGGTCGGAATTTTGCATATGAGTCCTTATAACTATTTCAGATTCAACCCGTAGTCCAAAGCATGTTTACAGATTTCGTTTTCTCCTTTTAAAAGCGTATTTTTATTCGGTTATATTGAAATACGTTTTCAGTTATTCACAGTTTTGCCATTCAACTTGTTTTAGCCATAAAATCTCCGTTTTAACTCCGATTTGATCCGTTCAAGTTGTGTTAGGTTCGTAATTAAGTAATCTACATGTTTATGTTACTGTAAAGTAGATTTCCAACTTTTAAAATTCGATATTAGATTTAATCTATTATTTTGCTATAGGAAAACTTGTTTAATTCATAACTTCTTCGTTTTAGATCCAATTTTTGTGATCTTCGCATCTGTGTGTTCGTAGCGAGACGTAGATTTGTTTTCCAAATTTTTCATCTTGAATTTATGCTGTTGGTGTACTATTCTAATATGTAGCCTTGTTTGCTTTGCATGATTGCTCCTGGATGCTTGTATGTTGCTATGGTTATCGAGTATAGATGATGAGCAGTTCGTGGGAGATCAAGGGTACGACTTTGACGAGCAGGACCAGCAAGGGTACTTTGATCAAGGCAAGTATAGCATGGGATCATCCTTATTTCCTATTCACTTTAATTTATTAAATTCATATTGCATGTGTCGCCTTGATATTAATTCCATAGAATTGAACTTTTACCTCGTTACCTACGGGTTATGCATTTGGGTAGCTTTGCTAGTGCTCAATTAAACCATGATCTTGTAACTTGACTAATGGTATATGCAATAAACATTAAAATATGACTTTTTAGCAACATGAAAACAGGGGGTTGGAGTGTTTAGCTACTTTCTAAATTCTTCAGATTCCTCTCCCTAAGGACTTATCTGTAAGTGATCATCCGAGACTTACAGTACAGCTGTGAGGGCTACATGGCTCTGGCTTTAGCTCAGTATGAGGACCTTTTCTAGCTTGTTAGTGGTTACCTTTATGGCGCAAGAGGGGTGTGTTCCGGGTTGAATATGGTGCGGCCTCTGTCCGTCAGTGTATATAGGCTGTGCGTCATTGTGCCTGTCGGAAGGGGAGCTCTACATTCGTAGGCCACAGAAACCTAGCGGCCCTAACTTGTTAGACGAACCTTTGAAAGGCTTCATAGTGACCCCTGTGTGCTCACCTTGGAAGTGTTTTGGGAGTAATTAACCCGGGCATATGGGTATCATGACTCACAGTGAAAGTGTACAACCTCTGCAATGTGTAAAACTGATATATCAGCCGTGCTCACGGTCACGAGCGGCCTTGAAACCCTTACGGAATAGATGAACACCAAGAATTATTTGTTTATGCTATTCATTAATCATGTTTACACTGATCATGTGTTTTGCAATTGGGAATTGAAACAACTTGTTGCTACTCTTAAGCTAAAATTGTGACAGCTAAAAGCTAAACGCTGTTAAACCTGTGTCAAGCCTTTTGAGCCTCATGAACCCCGTGTTACACTTGTTGAGTACGACATGTACTTACGCTTGTTTATTTTCATTACTTGGATAAAAATCCCGGATGGGTAACAGATGGCTTTGGGTATGATGATTTTCCTGAGGACTACTAGACTTGTGGTCAACCAGTCGACGTCCCTGTGAAATAGAGCTTTCACGAGAGATCTTTTATTACTTCCGCTATATTTATGTGATAACTCTGTCTTAATCATGATGTAATAAATATTTGTGATGATACTATTCATAATTTGTCGGCTTATGTGTGTGACTGATCTCTAGGCGCACATAAGATTTTGCACTCTATTTTATCTTTAAAATTGGGTGTGACATCGGGTTTGGGCCTCAAAACTCGGGTCTGTGGTGGGAATCGGAGGTGGCATGTGGCATCATCACGAGGCTTGCATCCAAGCAAAATTAAGTGATGAAGGGCACGTGACCGTCGAATCAGCATATCTCTGAGTTGGACCATAAATACCCCTTGGGTTAGGTGGTTTGCTTTAATTACATAGGGGCATATTGAGAATGTATAATAGCCTCTATAAATAAGAGGAGGGCTGCCCCAATCAGTCTCGTCTCTTTAGCACTTCATTAGTTTATCTCTCTCTAGTCTGCTATTGAGGTCCACATAGCATCTCCATTTGTGTAATCAGATCTTGTAAGCATTAAAGGGGATGGAGGCCCTTACCTCCTCTTGTCCTCTGGGCCTTAGGATCCGAGTCTTGCTTCTAAGATTTTCCTTTTTGGTGTTCTTTCTCTCCCAATTTTCCTGTTCTCTTGTTTTGTTTCGATCTTTTTGTTTGAGTTGTTCCGATTGATCGGAGATGGGCAAGGACATGCGTTGATCTCATTCACCAAGTGAATTCATCTAAATCCACACGAGCTCATCGATTAGGATGAATTTTGTTTTTGGGAGAAAAACTATGTTCTTGCGTGAGATCTGAAATTCCCGTTGATTGGCTAAGTTTTGGACGATGATCCCTTAGAGATAGCTCACCATCTTCCTTGTGACCATCTGATTCAAATCTTGTGGAAGTTGGTTTTGATTTGGCCAAAAATCGTTCAAATTTGGATCTCAGGCTGCTGTTTTCAAGGGCACCGGTCATCTCTCGAGGGTACCGGTTTTTGCACCAGACATGACGGTGCGTGTTTATTCTTCTCGGGGGTCTCTTGTTCAGCACCGGTGTAACCAGTGTGCACTGGTTCAGTGCACTGGTTACGGCACCAGTGGTGTCCGGTGGTGAGCAGTCCCTCGCCCGAGGCTTTTGCTCTCCCGTCGCACTGTGGTGACCGGTGTGCACCAGTTACGGCACACCAGACTCGGTGTCATAGAGCTTTGCTCTCACTCGTTTCAGCCGAGGGGCACCGGTGCTGCCGAGGAAGCTAGGGTCTCACTTGCTCTTCGTTCTTTCGTGCCGCGTTCCTCTCCGGTCTGCTCCGCCCTGATTCTTGAGCGTTGCTTGGTCCATCCTGCTACAAGTTAGCTTGCATGGATACGGCTTTGCTTGTGCTTTGCTTTTGGGATTAAATTTGGGACAACAGCCTATGTTTCGAAAGAAAAATTTAGGCTCCCATTCACCCTTCTCTGGTCGCCGTTCTCAGTCATTCAAAGGCTAAATGACATGAATTAGAATAGAGTAGTCCCCCGTCCCAAAATAATTCGTTTTTTAAGTTAAACTTTTTTATATTTGACCAAATATATATGGAAAAATACTATAATTTTTCTTATGTGCAATTAGAGTCATCAGGTTGGATTAATAGTGAAATATATTTTTATAATAAACATGTTAGAAAATATAAATGTTGATAATATATTTTGTATAAATCGAGTAAAACTAAAAAAATATCTTCTTGAAAACTGGATGTGAAATTAATTATGCCGAAGGGAGTACATAATAAAAACAGCTGAGACTCTCCTGGTTTTTTATTGATATGTATTTGGTGTTGGTACAATAGTTGCGCCTGCTTTCCAAGGTACATACAGGGGCTAATGGAGAGGCTCACTTGTACGTGGCCGATAATACAAGACCAATTACAAGATAGTACATATATCCAACTCCTGGACAGTGGGTATATATTAATATGATACACGCAGCAACTCATGATGTGCCTAGATAGCCCTCCAAATGAAAGTTAAACAGATCGTGGAGCAACCAAGCTTGTCACAGCTAGCTGATCTATCTTCCATGAAACGATCATTCAGAAAACTATGACACACTCCCTATATTTTTGTATTATAGATTTCTTCACACCAAACCACAATATAAAGATGCGCCGATCGAGGATAATGAGTCTTACGGATAGAGCTCCAGAACACCACGAGCTCCAAAGTTCTTGAGCACCTTATAGTCACTGAACCCTGCTTTCAGGATGAGGTCACGCCAGTCATTCAAGTCCCTCTGCCGGCCTCCTTTCATTAGCATCATGCAGACGTCCATTAGGAGTTGAGTTTCAAACATTACTGGTCCTGAGGCAGGGTCAAGAATAATGTCTCCGATGACAACCTTCCCTCCCTCTTCCCGTGAAGTTATTGCCTTCTTGCAATTGGCAAGGATCTTCACGCAGTCCTCATCACTCCAGTGGTGCAGCACCATCTTCCACGGAAATTCAAGTCTCAATGATATTAATCGAGCTCACAAAAATTGTACAAGAAGTTAAGTTCATCAAATAGAGTACATCATACATAAGATATAACATGCAACATAAATGTGAATTGTTATACCTTAAGTATCACCATTTGAGCAGGTGGGATGGACTTGAACATGTCACCTCCAACATAATTTATGACACCATCAGCCGGTATCTTGCGAATCTCCTGTGGAAGATCTAGCACAGTGACCTTGATCTGTGGGAAGGCCTTGGCGATGGCCTTCCCTGTCGTGCCATCCCCATGGTAACAGCAATCAGTCACCGACTTTACACCATGGAAAATGAACTGGTAGTCCCGCACGCCAATGTTGGTTGCAAAGTTGTCGTGGACCAACAAACCCAGTATTGACATCTTGTGGAACTCGGGATCCTTGTGGTGCATGCTCTCCTCGAACAGCGATGCTCCGTGCTTGTGATCGAAAGGAGGTGTCTTGGCTTCCTTCTTGAACCAGTCAGCTAGGTCCATTGCCAAGTCAATGTATTGTGTTGATGTCACCGTCAGCAGGAAAGGTGCATGGTCCATGTGGTTACTATCGGCAGCAATGCCGTCTACCAAGAGGTATGACAGTGGTGTGAGGGAGTAGACAGCCTCATCAGTGGACTCAACCACGGCGAAGACGCCTGACGAGGCCAGCAGCCTCATGAGGCGGCCAAGGAAAGGTAGCTTAGCCTGGGGGAGTGACAGTGCGGCGATCAGGTCGGCAAGCGAGGCAGCACCGCCGAGGCGGTAGATGGCAGTGGGTATGCCAAGCTCAGCAGCGCACTTGAGCGCCATGGATTTGAGGTAGCACAGGCTGTTTCGCCATAGATTGGCCTGTGCCTGCATCAGCTCAGCATCGGTGGGGACTACAATGGATGAGGCCTGAGCTGCCATTATTGTATGTTGCTCAATGGATCCTTTTTGTGTTGTTTTCTGTGCTCTGGTTAGATGCCTGGATCGTGCATTCTTGGCTTGGGTTAATATAGTGTGTTTCTTACCTACTGTTTTTTGAGAAGATGTTCATGATTGTGGCCTTAGCTAGCTATCCACTGTTCCCATGGACCACGAGGAGAGAGACGGTTCTATATGGACGGATCTCGATCCAGAAATCTAAGTCGTAAGGAAAGTGATAGTGCTCATGCTCATGTATCTACGCCCGTGTTTCACATGGACATAGACACAACCAACCAGGCCAAGAAACGTACTAAATCTAGTACGAAATTGAAAGCCCAGCTGGTTGCATTGGACGGCATGGAGCCGTGTCATTCACTCATACAAAAATGGGAGCAGATATCCAGTAGTCATCCAGAAAAAAAAATGCATCTCTCACTCTCTCAGGTGTCTGCAAGATAGTGACTAACTTTAATATACTAACTCTCCAGATGTGTGGCAAGAAATACTTGAAATAAATACCTTTGAACACAACCTTTCGGCCAAGTCAAAAGAAACCGGGTGATTCAGATGGTACTTTTGAGATAAAAGAAAAGTTCTGAAGTTTTAAAAACCAATGCCTAAGACAATTAATTGGGGAATCTACCTAACAATATTGTTATAGTGCTATTTGAATTGCAATTTTGAACTATTAAATAGTTGTTTAGTACCATCACTACTATAAAAAGAATTTTTAGAAACGCCTTCAAAGGGATCGTGACGCCTAAGAGGGGGTTGAATTAGGCAACTTAAAACTCCAACTCTAAATTATGGCCTCTTTTTCTAACCTTAGCAAAACCTATGCAAAAGATAAACTATCTAAATGTGCAACTACGGTTTTATTTGCTAGTGTGTTGCTATATCTACCGCAAAAAAAGTTATGCAAACAATGTCAATGCGGAAGCTAAAAAGTAAGGTAAAGATATACAAACTCCCGTCGACGACTCCGGTATTTTTACCGAGGTATCGAGAAGCGCGCAAGCTTTCCCCTAGTCCTCGTTGGAGCCCCTCGTTAGGAATACACTGTAAGTGCCAAGCTTTCGGTCGGGTAATTCCGTGGATAGCCCCGGGCCTTCCCCACGCGTAAGTGGGTCTTCGGTGTGCCTTCCGGCAAGCCTCTCCCAGACCGCTCCCTGCCGTCTTCACTATCAAGCTTCTGGTCAAACCGCCACGGACCTTGTTCCCTCCGGTACACGGTGGCAGCCACACCACAAACGCGATTGGTGTGATCTCGCAAGATTACAAGCCCTCTGATGTACAACAATAGTGCGCGCAAGCACCGAGTGGTAAGAGGTATGTAAACCTCATTAAACACTAGGCCTAAACCTAGAGCAAGCGCATAAGCAGTGGTCTAATCAACCTAAGTACTTTGCAAAGCACCTACGCTAATCACCTAATGAATCACTAAGCACTATGCAAGTGGAGATCACTAAAATGGTGTATCAACACCCTTGGTATATGTCCTCAACTATCCACGTCTCAAATGGCTGGTTGGGGGGTCTATTTATAAGCTCCATGGAGAAAGTAGCCGTTGGGAGCGAAATCCAGCTTTCTGCTACTAACCGGATGCTGCTGTCGTCCCGACCGTTGAAGCTAGCGCATTGATCGGACTCGGCGCTGAGTCCGGTGGACGCGTCCGGTCGCGTTTGCGCCTCTCTGGAACCTTTCTGGAACCGATCGGACGCTGCTGCCTGGTGCGTCTGGTCATCCATCTACCACGTCCGGTCACGCTGAAGGTGTTGCCGAAATGATGAACAGTGCCATCGTCGCGTCCAGTCATGTTTCTTCTTCAGTGTTCAGTCGCCTGCTGACACTTGCCGTTGTCTCGGACTGCCCATCGGACGCGTCCAGTCCTTACAAAGGGCGCGTCCGATCACCTCTGCCATGCTTGTTTCTTCACGGTCTTGCGTCCGGCTTGGTTCTCATCTTCGTGCTTGGACTTTGCTTGATATCTTGGGTCTTCTCTTATGCTTCTAGGGTCTTGCTTATGGTGTTGATCGTGAGATCGTCATGTCGCCTTCATCCAAGTCAAGTCTTGCACCCTATTGAACTACAAAATAATTACTTGTAAATTCATTAGCCCAATTTGGTTGTGTTGGTTATCAAACACCAAAATCCAAAGTAAATAGGACTAGGGTCCATTTTCCTTACAATCTTCCCCTTTTTGGTGATTGATGACAATACGACCAAAACAAGCAAATAATAAAAATTTTGGAATTTAAAAACTATTTACTTGCTAGGATGCAATGCAATGGGCAAGGTTATATGATGCTAAAAGATACCACATGTAAACATCTTTGGAAACTTATCTTGCCCTTGCAAATGTCCCCATGTGGCATTATGGATTTAAGTCTCCCCCTCACTCCATAATGCACTATCCTCCCTTTCTCGGACCATTACCACTTGTAAATTATTACCATTTATCACTTGTAAATTATTATAATCGAACTTGCTTTTGGTCCTACAAATTCTTCCCCTTTGGAATCAAACACCGAAAAGGAAGACATTAGTAGCACAAGGGAGGGTCAAACTTTATGATCCTTTGCATGTGGAGTGGAATTGGTCACAGAATTTGACTCTCACATTACATAGACTAAGCTCCCCCTAAATATATGCATACATATAATGAAGAATGTAGTTTATGTATAATTGGCAAATTAATGCACAAGGGAATTTAATCTATATAATGCATGGCGAAAGCATATAAATACCAAAGTAAAATCAACATGATGATATCGGTTTAGAAATACCACATGTGGAAACTAGTTTGATTTATACCACTTGCAATAGGTGGTGGATATTTGAAGTATGATGCTTAACTTTAGGGACTCAATTTTCCTTGCAATGAGACTACTACACTTATGATAAGCTTGAAAAGATGTTAGTCTCAAAGCATCCAACTTGTAGAGTAACCTCCCCCTAAATTTGTGCACACAAGTATGGAATACTTATAGGAGACATGCACATTGATTTTAGAATAAAAAATGCCACTGAAAGATGACATCACATGAATGTGAGAATCATTTTCGAAAGTGATATTCGAGAGAAATTATCTACAATTTGGACTTTGACACATATTAGATGAACAATTGTAAAACAAGCTATGTGCCATGCTCCCAAACAATTTAAACCATGTAGGTTTCCTCCAAGGGTTAAGAGTGAAACCGAGTAAGTCTACCATAAAATATACCTAGTGTATGCAAGACAAAAGATTAAATATGCAAATGCAAACCTAGGCATGAAAAGGAACTAGATGCTAATTGAAATTGCAAGAAATTAAATCTAGTTACCTAATATGGAAAGGGGAATTTGACTCCATAGTATTCACTAACCCACTTGGCAATTACCTTGTCCATAATGATGCACCTCATGAAATGCACCCATACTTTGCCAAGTCTCCAAATTATCCGAAGTCCATCGGATTTCTCACTTCCCTTTTGGGATCCAAACCTTCTTGGTGCTCTTCATGTTGGAAATGATCTCCTTTGGCACCCAAATGCGTTTGGCCCCATTTTTGCCTTGCTTGTTCACCTTGATGGCCACCACCTTGTCATTTTTATTCTTCTTCAAGAGATAAGGTGCAGAGGCCTTTTTGTCCACCTTGTTGGTGTAGGTGTTGGTGAGCTTGCTTGTTTCCTTTTTGTTTTTCTCTTTCTTCTTAGCTCCTCCCCCATTCTTCACCTTGCACTCATAGGACTTGTGGCCTTCCTTGTGGCACACGTAGCAAACCACGGTTTGTCCTTCATCAAGCTTCTTCACTCTCTTGACGGTGTTATCTTGATGAAGTTGGGCTTGCTCCATCTTGCCTTTCACTTGAGTCAAGTCCTTGGTGAGACGAGCCACTTCTTGCTTGAGTTGCTCATTCTCCATTGCAACCTCTTGTGTGTATGTTTCTACAACAACTTTCTCAACACAAACTTGGTTGCACAAGGGTGAGTCTAAACATAAATCAATACAAGAAGTAGAGACATCCTTTTTAGGCATGTCAAAAATTGAACCTTTCTTTTTAGGTGCCTCGGTGGGGGTTGTACCGACGGCTTCAAGATTTGCAACTTTATTAGTTAGCTCATCACAATATTTGCACATGGTTTCTATTTTAGCAAGCAAACTTTTATAAGCATCTTATGAGCTAGCTAACTTTTCTTTTAATTTTTCATTTTTCTTTACAAGTTGCTCATTATTGATTGTGCATGCATTTGTTGTTGCACTAGCCTCAAGTTGCTCAATTTTAGTAGATAGTTCAATATTGAGATTAGCAAATGTCTCATATTGTTCAAGCAAGGTTTTATATGCTTCTCGTGAACTATCTAGCTTTTCTTGCAATATTTTAGCTTCTTTTGTTGGCTAGTGCAAGCCTTAGCATATTTAAGATTTTCTTACACAAGTTCATTAAGAGAAGGCATTTCATCATCACTATCACTCTCACTAGAGGATGAGCTTTCGTTACCTCGTGCCATAAGGCACACGAGAAGAGCTTGATGATGAGTGCTTGTGGCCTCGCCTCTTGTGATGGTCTTCTTCTTCACTTGAAGAATCATCCCATGACCTTATTGATATGAGGGCATTGTCCTTGCACGCCCTTCTTCTTTGTCTTGGGTGTGGGCTTGTTTGGACAAACTTCCATAAAGTGCCCCAACTCACCGCATCCATAGCATCATTTCATTCTTTGCTCATTTCTTTGATTGGTGAAGATGAAATCTTGAATTTGGATGGGCACACCCTTGACATTGAGCCTTTGGATCATCTTCTCCACCTTGTTGATAAGTTTGATTGATTCTTCATTAAGGTCGGAGGTGGAGGAGGAAGATTGATCATCATCACTTGAATCTTCATCTTCATCATTATCATCATCATCCTCATCTTCTTCTTCATCTTCACTTGAGGAGCTTGAGCTTGAGCTTGTCTCAACTTGCTTGTCCTTCATCTTCTTTTTCTCACTACATGCGAGAGCTTTGCCTTTGTTTGATGATGAGGCTTCTTCTTGACCCATCTTTCGTGACATTTCAAATGCCACTATTTTGCCAATGACCATGGCCAGGGTCATGGTGCTCAAGTCCTACATGTTGTGAAGGATGGTGATGATACTTGCATATTTCTTTTATGGTAGCATGGAGATGATCTTCCTCATGATGTCAACATCATCTAGCTTCATTAATCCTATTGAATGGAGCTCATTAATTAGATTCAAACAAGAATACACATCACGAACAAGCTCATCATCATTCATTTTAAAGGAATCGTAATTTTGTTTAGATAGACAATGTTTTTGCTCATTGACATTAGTTGTGCCATCATGGAGGTCTTGGAGTTTTAACCAAATTTCATGTGCCGTATTTAAGTGAACACTTGGTTAAACACATCCATGCTAAAAGATTCAAATAAGCAATTTTTAGCTCTAGCATTGAAATGAATTTCTTTTTCTTCACTCTTTGTGGGTTTATCGAGATTCTTAATGGGTTTCATCCCGTCACGAGTGACTCTCCAAACACCCAAATCTACCGCCTAAAGGAGATAAGCCATTCTAGCTTTATAGTAGAAGAAGTTAGTGCCGTCAAAGTGCGGAGGCCTAGAGGTATCCATCCCAACCACTCTAAATAGCGTCGGCTCAACGGCGGTGAAGCCAAAGGTCCAAATTGAGCCAATCGGCTCTGATACCAATTGAAAGGGACCGTGACGCCTAAGATGGGGGGGGAGGGTGAATTAGGCAACTTAAAACTCTAACTCTAAACTATGGCCTCTTTTTCTAACCTTAGCAAAACCTATGCAAATGATAAACTATCTAAATGTGCAACAACGGTTTTGCTAGTGTATTGCTATTTCTACTGCAAAAGGAGTTATGCAAACAATGTAAATGCGGAAGCTAAAGAGTAAGGTAGAGATATGCAAACTCCCGTCGACGACTCCGATATTTTTACCGAGGTATCAAGAAGCGTGCAAGCTTTCCCCTAGTCCTTGTTGGAGACCCTTTCAAGGAATCCCCTGTAAGGGCCAAGCTCCAGGTCGGGTAACTCCGTGGATAGCCCCGGGCCTTCCCCACGCGCAAGTGTGTCTCCGGTGTGCATTCTGGCAAGCCTCTCCCAGACTGCTCCCCGCTGTCTTCACTATCAAGCTTCCGGCCGAACTACCGCGGACCTTGTTCCCTCCGGTACATGGTGGCGGCCACACCACAAACGCGGTTGGTGTGATCTCACAAGATTACAAGCCCCTTCGATGCACAACAATGGTGTGCACAAGCACCGAGTGGTAAGAGGTATGCAAACCTCACTAAACACTAGGCCTAAACCTAGAGCAAGTGCATAAGCGGTGGTCTAATCAACCTAAGCACTTCGCAAAGCACCTACGCTAATCACCTAATGAATCACTAAGCACTATGCAAATGGAGATCACTAAAATGGAGTATTAACACCCTTGGTATGTTTCCTCAACTCTCCACATCTCAAATGGCCGGTTAGGGGGTCTATTTATAAGCCCCATAGAGAAAGTAGCCGTTGGGGGCGAAACCTAGCTTTCTGCTACTGACCGGACGCTGCTGTCGTCCTGACCAGACGCGTCCGGTCGTTCCGACCGTGGAAGCTTGCGCGCTTCTCGATACCCTGGTAAAAATACCGGAGCGTCGACGGGAGTTTGCATATCTCTACCTTACTCTTTAGCTTCCGCATTTAAATTGTTTGCATAATTCCTTTTGCGGTAGAGATAGCAACACACTAGCAAAACCGTAGTTGCACATTTAGTTAGTTTATCTTTTGCATATGTTTTGCTAAGGTTAGAAAAAGAGGGCATAGTTTAGAGTTGGAGTTTTAAGTTGCCTAATTCAACCCCCCCTTAGGTGTCACGGTCCCTTTCACGTCTCATTTTTTTCAATAGGGGAGGCTCAATCTAAAACCGACTCTAGAACTAGTTCTCGGAACGAACCGCATCTAGAAATGCATTTGTAGGGATGACTATCATTTCCAGCCGCCTCTACAAATACCCTTATTTTAGATGTGGCTCTAGATCGAGCCGTCCTATAAATGGATTTTTAGAGGCGGCTGGATCTAGAGTCGCCTATAAAAATGGACGACGCATAGTAAAATTCATGTTTTTTAAACGAAATCGCATGAAGACAAACTTTATATCAAACCTAGTAAGGAAATCTACTTAAGTGGTAAGGAAAGTGAAAGTGCCCATGCTCATGTGCCTATGCTGCGTGTTTCACATGGTCATAGACACAACCAACCAAGCCAAGAAACGTACTACACATCTAGTAAGAAAATTAAAAGCCCAGCTGCTTGCATTGGACGGCATGGAGCCGTGTCTTCATACACTCATACTAAAATGGGAGCGGAAATCCAGTAGTCATCCAGAAAAAATATGCATCTCTAACTTCTCAGGTGTCTGCAAGATAGTGACTTAGTTTCATATACTATCTCCCCAGATGTGGCAAGAAATACTAGAAATAAATATCTTTAAACAGAACCTTTAGGTCAAGTCAGAAGAAACCGGGTGCTTCATATTTTTGGATGGTACTTGCACTGCGCCAAAACTGCACAAAGAACAATTCTGAAGTTTTAAAAACCAATGCCTAAGACAATTAATTGAGAAATCTGCTGTACGAATGTTGTTATAAAATGCCAAAGACATTTTTTTGAATTGCAATTTTGAACTATAAAATGCTTGTATAGTACAATAAAGACAGTTGGTTTATTTCTTTAACATGTAATGGTATGCGTGAGTAATTGAGCAAAAAGCAAAGTGAAATGGTACTTTGGTTTGTTTTTTGCATAATGGCACAATGGTGGTAGCAACATGTATAGGGTTATTTTTGGTTTTCATTTGTGACAATTTCTAAGCCTTCCAAGGCTCCAAGTGAACATGATGGTTACTTCATTATGATACTAGATGTACCATGGGAGTATATTACATAAATTCTGTAGTGGGGTAAGTTATATTGTCTGGGCTAGATGCCAAATAATGGCACTAATCATGCTTTAGTTGGCCAATTAGTCAATGGTTTCTCGTTCAATAATTCATTGGCATTTTGTGTACATATATATTTCGAACGAAAGGCACGAGACAGTGCCGGTTTCTATTTTAAAAGAAGAGGAGTTACAAGGTTTGTTAATCTTAAAAGGTTAGAAACCAGTCAAGCAAAAAAAAATGGTGAAAAACTACTCTCTGCCAAGGAGAGGTGCAAGGCACCTCGCACCCGCCATTGGCATTGTATATATGAGTTTATTGCAACTTGGGCGCACAATAAGTGCCTATATAACTATACCCACTTAGGATCAAGGCATCCGAACAGTAGATCATCTGCACCATTTTCCTTTGGTTCAAGCATCATATAGATTTTGATGGGCTCTTTGAAAGCACCAGATATGAATAATCATCGAACGGTCTGTCGTCATGATGGTGGGAATGCAACCATTTTGGGAGTAGGCAAAGCTGTTCCATTGCATGAGTTTCAACAAAATTCATTTTCTGATTACTATTTTGAGATTAGCAGAAGCAATCACATGGTGGATTTGAAGGCAAAGTTTGCAAACATTTGTAAGTCCATGCATGTACAAATGATTGTTCTTTATAGAACTACCTTTATTATTGTGTGTAATACCATAGACGATATCTGCTGAATTTGGAATTAGGGAAAGATGTGTTTAATTGTGTTATTAGGCAATTCATCCATACAAATAACATCACCATTAAGTCTGTGATAGTTCAATAATTTTAATTTTGTTTCTAGTGAATGGTAAATAAACAAGTAATAATATACTAGTATTAACTATCACTGAATTGTCTGCTTCTGCTTTAACCTGCAGTCTTGCAGTAGCACTAATACGTATAGCACATGACGAATTTCAGGTGAGAAGACCATGGTCGAGAAGCGACACTTTTACTTGTCCGACGAAATGTTGAGGGAAAGCCCGTCCATCACGGCGTACAGCTCCCCTTCCCTCACCCGCCGGCAGGAGCTCGCGGATGTGGGTGTACCCGAGCTCGGCGTGGAGGCGGCACGCAAGGCCATGAGTGACTGGGGCAAGCAGGCCTCCGACATCACGCATCTCGTGGCCAGCACGTCAAGCAGCGGCTGCATGCCTGGCGCGGACTGTGAACTCGCCAGGCTCCTCGGCCTCAGGCCATCGACCAAGCGCCTCATGCTGTACCAGACCGGCTGCCACAGTGGCTGCACCGCCCTGCGCCTTTCCAAGGACCTTGCGGAGAACAACCCCGGCGCACGGGTGCTTGTGGTATGCGCCGAGGTGTGCACCCTGTCGCTTCGAGGCCCCTCGGCGTCCCACATGGGGAACCTCATCGGCCAGGCCATCTTGGGTGACGCCAACGGTGCTCTTGTGGTGGGCTGCAACCCCACCGCTGAAGAGCACGCCATGTTTGAGCTTGTGTCAGCATGCCAAGAGACCGTGCCGGGGACGGAGGAGGCCCTGGTGTCCAAGCTCCGGGAGGAAGGGATAGTGTACACCCTGGACCGAGACATACCCCGGCATGTGTCCGGTTCCGTGGAGTGGTTGGTGGAGCTTGTGTTGCAGGAAGCCACGGTGTCCGTTCCAGACTTGAACGAGGAGGTCTTCTGGGTGGTGCATCCAGGGGGACGGGGCATACTTGACAGGATTGAGAGCAAACTAGGGCTCGGGGAGAAGAAGCTGGCGGCGTCAAGGGCCGTGATGAGGCAATATGGCAACACAAGGTGTTCCTCTGTCATCCTAGTTTTGGAAAAGATGCGGCGGATGTCGGAGTAGCTGGGTCTGCGCACGGCGGGGGAAGGCCTCGACTGGGGGCTCCTCGTCGGCTATGGCCCTGGCATCACCGTCGAAGCTATCCTCCTCCACGCGCTGCCAAACAAATTGAAACCATAGCATATTAAACAAGTGGGACATCACTGTAACGAACGTCCTTTAATAGTAGTAATGCTTAAGTTCCCTTTTTTTTAGAGTAATAATGCTTTAGTTCCTGAACCAATTGTTTCTTAATAGACCGAGAGGAAGGAGCTGAGGACACCTTTGGCCTCAAGGCGCTGTACGAGGACTTGTAAAGCCCAATAAGATCTGTTATATAAAAAAATAATACCCAATAGGCCATCCTTATAAAAACAATAAAGTTATACAGCAATGTTAGCGGCCAATGGTTTTGTTATTAGAAAATTCATTCCTTGCCTCTAAGAAAAGGTGGTTGTTTTGCATGAGAAAATTTCTTCCTTGGCTCTAAAAGAAGTTCGACTTCCATCTTTGGCCCTTTTAATCCAAAGTTACCTTTTAGATCCAAAGTTACCTATTTGGTCCGAAATCCAACTTTCCTTGCTTATATGATCCTTTCGTCAGATTTGGCCGCTAACAGTGTTAAGTGGAGAATGAAATAATGATTTTACCCCTTGGAGAAATAAGTAAGTTTAGTTTCATATATTTTATTTTATAAGGACTAGCAAAAATGTTCGTGCATTGCAACGTGACGCATGGTTTTTTGTATGATTCTCGAACATCAATATCTATATTTATCGAATTTATTAATTAGGATTAATCCAGCCTTAAGTGAATCAAATAAACTTTAAGACCCGCCGTCCTCTGATTGCATGTTTGGTTGGTGGAGATGCACGGAGAAGAGAGGCAAGTCTATCCACTCAAATTATGAAAAAATATACACAAATTACGGAAATTATACATATTGCCTAGCTGCTGAACAATTCCTTCACAATCAGAGGAACAAATGATTCAAACTTGTGCGGTTATTCGTTTCCTCTAAATCAAAGGAATCAATGTGTGTAAACGTTATCAAGAGAGAAAGATAGTAGGAAATTGGTAAAAATAGTATAAACAAACTAATTTAGTCGTGCACCCAAATATTTGAATTTTAATTATTTGGTACCTGTATTTTTTGGTTTTTAATTAAAAATGATGTATCTGTGCAAGCAAAAAGATACACTAAGATAAACCTGTAATATAGAGAAAAAGCATTGTTGTTGCCCGAAGTGTAATGTCTTCATGACCTGTGGAGGTCGTGAGAATGAGTATACCTGGCCTGCATCAACTTGTCCTATGACGCGCCTGCACAATGCTGTCGCGACCATAGTCAATGGTGTTGAGGTGAAGTCTTGCAAGGTGCTGAAGAGGAGGTTGCCCATTTAGTAGTTGGCCGAGGAGATGAGTGGGTGGTCATCGGCGTGCTGCCTGCTGATGTAGATATCCTCGATGGAGAGGAATTCTGGGTCGTTGCTGTCGAAGAAGACGACTGTTGCTGGAGAACCATATGGAGACCAAGGAGATCAGCGAGGGTGTCATAAGCGAGAAGGAGGCCCGAAGTTTATCCGGTTCGAGTCACCAAGGTGGAGGCTCAAATCAAGTTCAAGTCCATCTCGGCCTCCAGGACTAGTCTGCCTTAAACTGGTCATCTAGGACGCATCCGGACTCCGTTTTCGACGATCCACATATGGATGGAAAGCTAATTTGATAAGGAAGCCAATCCAAGTGGTCTCACGTCAAAAGCTATTCCGAATAAACGGGAATCGTGGTCATAAATCAGCGTCCAGAATCTATCAGGATGCTGCGACACCGTCTTTTGGTCCGTTGAACCGTGTATCGTGTTTGGGCCCATTAGGGGGCGCGTCCAGGGTGGTTGACGCCCAAGACTCTATAATTAGCAGTCGCCGCTATCCTTAGGGTTTGGGTTTTGTTTAGTTCTTGATTTCCTCATGAAACAGACATCATTTTGCTGCAACTGTGCCGCCAAGGCTGCTTGCTGTGATCCAGGGCCTCAGTACTTGATCTTGTTCGCCTGTGGCGATTAGTCCTTTCGAATAAAGACTGGAACTTCTTCTCGTTATCATAAGCCTTATATTTATTTACAATTTCAGATTGCGTTCATTTCGTTCTTGCTTATGTTCTCGATTCGCTTGCAGGAAAGCCTTCTCGGCGAGGTCAATCGCGTTCGCGTGGTAGATAACCAACGGAGCAGTGGTGTAACGGTTGTGGGGGTCTGAATCAGTCTTGGTTCGACGCCTAGATCATGAACGTTGAGTCTCGACTAATCGACGCTATCATACCTTTCGGAAGATCGGGCCTAGTCTACATCAAGTGACATCAGAGACCATGTTACCCGTTAGGTATAACTTTGTTTTCCCTTTAGATTATTACTGTTTTGCATTACCTATAGTCTAAAAAAAACCAAAAAAATAATATATACGCCACCACATAATCCCTGTCATGTAGCCTCATTGTGCCGTGCAATTTTGTTTCTGTTTCGCGTTCTTGAGTTTGTGCCCTAGGTCAAGTTCTGGTTGCTGGTTTTACATCATTTTTAGTCCAGTTTGTGTCTTTTCCTTTGTTTTTTATCATAATCCGTGAACACCTTCAAGTTTTGCTGTGTTTCCTTTGTATCCATCAAACCCTAGTCCACGTCATCTAATTTGTTGCACTTGTCTTCACTGTTTCCATCAGTCCTTGCTGTCCTGACCAATTTTGCGCGCATTGTTCCCGTTTTGTCCTCTAATTCGAAGTCAGTTCGTAAAACTAGTCTAGTTTTTGCATACGAACTCGGATTTCGACTTTTCATATATCAAAATCGATCAGAAAAAAATTTCGGATCCGTCCATCCCCTGCCTTGTTGGGGTCGGAAACTTTTATTTTGGTCAAAAAGTGGTCACAAGATCCTCTTTTCGTGGTCACAAGCTTTTTGTCGATTTTGAGCACTTCTTCTAAAAATTACACAGGCCACACCTTTCACTTGTTTAAGCTCATATTTTCTGTGGTTACTTCTTTTGTGCTCCTAAGTGAAGGAAAAATATCAAAAAATATAAAAATAAAAAGTTGAAATTTCCCAAAAAACAACGACAGCCCAAAAATAGAAAAAAGAGAGGGGCAAAAGAGGAACAATATCTAGAGGAGCACATAAAGAGCGCCATTTGAGCTATGTTTGCGTGTGCTGATTTCTACCTTATTCCTAATCATATTCCTGCTGTTCACGTCACTTGATACATCTGGTACTTGGAACGTGAGTAGGCCAGCAATTAAGACAAGTACTCGGGATACTTATTCAGCTTTGCTATTCAGTTGCGAATATTGTTTTTCCTTGCTACTATATTGTGCCTGTTCAAGTTCCACTTTCTTCTAACCAAGTACAGGTTTGCCTTGCAACTGTTATACTCAAGCTACAACGGTATCACAGTCACCGACCGATTGCACCGCCTGTTGCTTTGGTAACAACACCTGTAAGACCGTGGTAAGACGCTTGAGAGTTGAGTGCCTTGTTTTTCCTTGTCCACAACCTAAGTAGTTGATAGGGATAATACTTCTGTGTTGTCTTTTGCTGTCTTCTATAAATGACAGGTTGTTCGAATCCACCGACTTATGATGGTATAGGTGCTGGTGAGTACATGGAGTGGGAAATTGCTATCGATGACATATTTGCTACTCGTTTTATGTGTTCAAGGAGGAAGGTAAAAAATGCAGCTAGTGTTTTGCGACATTCTGCCTTATCTTGGTGGGAGTCTTTAGATCCTTCTAATAAACCTCAAACTTGGAATGATATGAAACTTCTTATGCAAGAAAAGTTTGTTAATTCATCTCTTATAATTAATTCAAATGATGAGGTGCATCAACTAGATCAATCTCTTGTTATTCCTCCTGCTATGCCTAACCTTTTGCAGGATAATGTACAAAAGAGCGAGGATGACACGACAGAAAATGAGATGCTCGCAGCCTCATGTGAAAATTCAGAACAATCAACTATTACTCCTGCTGAACATGAGAGCAAAGGTAATGCCCACGATGCTAAACTCATGGAAGGTGAGAGTTATCTTGATATGCTGAATTTTTCCACCAAACATTCTATGATAGAGCAAATTTTAGTGGAGCCTTTGCTTGATTTACCTTTGTGACAAGATGATTTGCTTGATGTTTCTTGTGACGAAGATGACTTTCATGATGATATTTATGTTATACCCATGCAACCATTGAAGAATGATCATGCTATATGTGTGCTAAAATTGAGCACTTGTGCTGAAAATAGACTTGTTATTAGTGAAGTTGATGAGTTGAAATTGTTGTCTTCTTTAAATACTTTGGGTTACATTGAATTTGATGTTCCTTGTAATCTTAGTTCTTTAGAAGAGAAACTTTATGCATATGCTGATTTGCCATGGTTCTCTAGACATACATATCATGTTTTTGGTAAATATAACAACTAAGGGCAATATTTGATACAACGAGTTTATATTTGTACAAATCTGAATTCTCCTTTTGTTGTGCAAAGTAATGATCAACTAGAGGACAGTAAAATCAACACTACTGTTATGTCATATTCCTCTAGTTTTGCTTTTCGAACACAAGTGGAATTCAAAGAAAGGGAGCATATGTTTCTTGTTAGTACTAATCTTTTGCAGGATAGTATTGGGAAAGATCGTGTGTATTTCAATCGAGTAGACTACATGTCTGTAGGACAAGACATGCTACAAACCTGGACATATGGTCATATTCTTTCTCACAACATTGTCCATTCCCATTATTTTGGAAACCTCGTTTGTCTTCATGTTGTGCACGATCGACTTCAAACAAAATCGATGCCGAGGACGGCTTTTCGTCAAGAAATGTAGGATGATGAGGACATGACCTCCATACATATGACCATGCTTGGAGAACCATATGGAGACCAAGGAGATCAGCGAGGGTGTCCTAAGCGAGAAGGAGGCCCGAAGCTCATCCGGTTCGAGTCACCAAGGTGGAGGCTCAAATCAAGTTCGAGTCCATCTCGG